GGGAGTGGGGGGGGTAAATGTTTGAGAATCAAACTTGCTTTCATTTCCTTGTTCTTTTTTTGCCTCAGCAACAGGTTTGCTGATTAAACCTTTCAACAACGTCCCTTTAACATTCAGCAGGTTGTTGATGCATTTGTTTTGCCCCTACTAGACATGTTTATTTGTTGTTTAAAGTACTTATGTTAAAGAACCGGTAAGTCATGCGTCATCATTGCATCCCTGGAGTTGGCTCACTGTGTTCCAGTGTGGTGTTCTAGAAAGAGTAGCCATTTCATGCTGTGTTGCCATGCATGTGCCATTGAGGTCAAAACTAAAACTGTTTGAGTAACAAAGCACCAAGACGTTGTCTTTTTTTATATTAGCACTGAGGACCAATTGCCCTGTCGGACCAAGCATAACAAAGCTTTTTATGTAACAAAGCAGTTTCTCTCTTCCCCCTGTCTCTACTGGATCCCCCTCTCCTTTCCTGGCTTGTCTGTATTTTTTTCCTCCCTTGTGACAGCACAAGTGCCAGTCCTGTTGCTCTTTAAGAATATAGTGTTTTGTTTCTGGGCTTTTTATTTTTGGTTGTTCTATTATTATTATTTGAATTGTTATAGTTACGTCTACCTCAGCACCTAATCTTAGCCCAATCTTAGAAGGTGCCCAATTTTTTTTTTCCTGTTTGTTGTCAATTGTACAAATTTTAATTTGCATTAGAGCTTTGCAACGGTCCTTTGTATTTTCCAGCAACATGCTATTTTTTGTAGCACTACTTTCTGGATGTCGTGCTACAGATATTGGCATCAGTTATCTGATGTAGTCTTTCTTTCGGTGTAGGATCAGACACATCTCTTTGTAAGATTTCAGTGTTCTCTGATGGAGTGTGAAAAAAATAAAGAATTTAAAGAGACTGAATGCTGCAGGTTTTCTTCTCAGTGTTGTCACGAAGTAAATTTTGTGCCTTTAATAGTGAAAGAAATTTTTTACATCCTACTAACAGTAGATTGTTTTTGTAGTGGGGTTTTTTTGTATTTTTTTTTTTTATTATTATTATTTATGAGTCTCAAAATAACAATGTTCAGTTGTATTCCTTAAATCTAGAGTTAGAAAAAAAAATAAAAATGGACTTAAGTTTGTCTGGCTTTTTCATGTGTTCAGCTCATAGGAGTTAATGATCCTTTATACAACAAATATTTTGTCATTTATTCACCCTCATGAAGTTCCAAACCTGTATTATGGAACATAAAAGATATAATGCAGAATGTTCAAGCTGCTCTTTTCTGTCAAATGAATGTGAATGGTGAGCACTACTGTAAAAACAAGACTGCGTATAAACATACATTTTAGTTTGTTCTCAAAGTAGAAATAGAATGTTTTATGATGCTCTTTTTGAAGTACGCAAGCTCCTGGTAACCATCCACTTCTGCACAGAAGAGAGAAGTGTGAACATTGGTATAGATTGGTAACTAGATGAGGGAGTAAATGATGATATAAGTCACTTTAAATCACCTAAAAATATATATATAATTTATCTTTGTAAATATATCAGAGCTTAGCCTCAATTCACTATTACATGTGATTTGCTGTTCTTCATTATGCTTAGTTGCTGTTGTTCATTAGAGTCTGTAAACCAGGGTGTGAGGGTTTCATTAACCATTACTAATTAATTAGTCTTATTCAAACATATCTTTATAAAAAAAATAATGTGAGTAGGAAAACCTACTAAATAACCGTTAATGGCATTGTAAATATAGTGCAGTTGGCACCACCTGCAGCTGAGATAATAGCTACCAAGTTTAATATTACAGTATAAGAGAGTAGGGGGGCAAAACAAGACAGCGAGACTGAACTTGATGCGAATACATTATCCAGTGAATCCTTAAGATAGCAAAGTGGAGTTACACACAGGTAAGAGGACAGGTTCTGTGCCTTCACTGCCTGCTCTCATTACTATTCGAAGGGAAATAGACTGAAACAAAAGCAGTCTGCTTCTCTTATATTCTGGGGGGAGACAAGCTGAATACAAACCTCAGTGCTTTAGAGAGTCTGCCTGTGTTCATTACATAGAGCTCTGTGTTAATACCAAGAAACATCTGAGCAAATAATGGCAATTCGCTGCTATGCTAATGCTCCCTCTGGTATTGTATCTGTCTAACACTCTGTGTGTGTGTCTTTGAGTTATGATCCTGTTGAATTATTGTAAACATCTGCCAGTGTTAGGCTAGACACACAGCAAAAGCTCAGCCTAACTGCTGCCATCTTGTGAGTGCCATTTGCCTGTTTATTCTTATTCAACAATTGTCAGATAGAACTGAAAACAAGCACGTTTTGTGATGACAAAGTACGAACATTTTATTCATGTATGATTCCACATATAACACAAATACAACAGGTATATCACAAGGAGCTGTATACAATATAATACAATGTTTTTCCATCACTAGACGTCATTATCGCACTGTTAGTTGGTTTTGGTTTTCTCTGAACACGTTAAAACCGAAGCGAAATTTCACGAACAAAAAAGGTCAAATATTGAGTTGAGTTGATACGTGTCGCTGCCACAGAAGTCAAGTCCCAACTCCCAATCACAGATTCCTATTGAAATGACTAGGTTTAGCACACAAAATTTTGCAGAGCAACAGTAAATGTAGATAGGGTCACATTCCATTGTATAGAGTGCCTTATGCGTCAGAGAAACAAGTGTGCGCAGCCATCTTTAGAATTTTGTCTTTGAACTTCCGTTTATGCGGTAGCTATATATATAGCATTACTTATTAGTTATGTGCATTGTAATGTTCGTTGATGTCAGAAGATTTTAAAACGAGTAAATCATTCAGAAATTCGTACGACCCTTCAGTCCGGAAATACAGACCGGAAGACAGAAGACAATGTGCTGAAAAGGGGCGGGGCTACAAACGGTCTACATTGTCAAGCATAGTGATATACAAAGCACAACTCACAAAGTAAATTTCACCGCAAATGAACCTGCTGCAAGATGTAAATAGAAGCGTTTCTCCTTCAAATGAAATTCGCATGGATTTTGCCCGCAAAAATTCGCCGAACAACAGTAAATGTGACCGCACCTTTACAGTGCACTGGCTAATGAAACGCTGCTATCTCTTTTCACCTTCTAACTATCTTTGGAAATAATGTGCCTCATATAAAGCACACAATGCTTACCTCAGTGTGCTGTGCTAATGAGTCTTTGAATTAGTTCTATCTCTTAAGATGAAACAGATTTTTTTAATGATCGTCTGAGAAAGACAGCAGGGTTCATTTTGTATATTTGCTTTGCAAGGCCTTAGGAAGTAAAGAATCATCAGAGCGACGCTGATGCTGCTGGCACCCAAGACTGCTAGTTTTCGGCTAAGGTCATGTGACCTCCTCTGCATGAATACCTTTTGTGCAGCTAGCAGGGGGTCCCATCTTTGGTTGCTCTTTGACCCAGATATGATCTAATGGACAAGGGAAGTTTAACAGTGAAGGACTGAATGGTGGCCGTGGTCTTCTCAAATCCCTTCGATTGTGTTCCCAGCTAAGCCGTGCCTGCGGGCGCGAGC